ACTCCTGTACTTCGTTAGTCTCATTTGGTTTTACAGGGCTGTCCACTCCCAGGCTGAACAGTGAACCTCGGAGGTAACTTCACCATTGAGCTAAAAGGGTGTCTGGGGGCCATACTCTCGAGGTGTCTTCAGTCTCATAGGGAGATATTTTGAGACTGCAAATATTCTGGTTTTTGTCATAATTTGGGCTATTAATTTTAGAATTCATTGATAATTATTAACTACAATGATTATTACTGTGGTGTTTTCCAAATGATATATTCTGTTCCAATCATTTTTTTCTATGTTTATTAATTGGAATCCTGAAAGGAATAGCTTTCCCTTCTCCCTCTTTATTTATTAAATTGTTTATATCAATATAGGTTAATCAATATTACTGTATTTTTTTCTTTTTTCTTTTGTTCAAATTTTTCCATGTTTGTTTATTAGGAGCTCCGTTAAAAGTAGGTTCCTGTATCTTTTTGACATGTCCCCATCATTATCTGTACATTTTTTTATTTTCTGTCAGATGCTGAGGCTCATCCTTTTCCTGCCTCAGCCCTCTAATCAGCCTTTTCTCCAAGAAAACCTAGTTCCTTTTATTAGAGAATGATATTTAGAAACAAAGATTTGGGCATTCAGAGTTCTTATTGTTACTGGGCCCTCAGTGGACAGAGGTAGGAAATATGTGTATATTATTGTACGCACACATATTTATACCTATTTCTATATGTATCTGTATGTATTTTTAAAACCATGAGCTCATACCCAATCTTTGATTCCAGGGTTTATTTTAATCTTCCCCCTTGCCTTGTTAGTCCTTTCTTTGATAGTGAGATTCCTGGCTCTCATTATTCTCAGTACATTATTTACTAAATTGTAGAATATATATAAAGTAGTTTCAAGATTGTTACTGTGAAGTGATAAACCACCTTACAGAAAGCAATTTGGTCTTTGTTCATTGTTCCTGAGAGCTGAACCACACGTGAGGCTGAGTTGGGGCAGGCAAGACCAGAGGGACCGCTTGGTGGCCTGATGCTAAACTCTTGAGTCATAATTTAGCTTCACATACAGGACTGGCCAGTATAAGCCCAGAAGTTAGAGGCTCAAGGGAGCTTACCAGTAGGTGAAAAAACATACATCTACACAGGTGGGCAGCATGTCCTGGGGACATGAAAGCTCTGAATTGGGACCATCCTAGACCTCACCCCATGCATGTTTTTGTTCGTATCCTTTTTTATATTAAAGCTGTTATCATAAGGATGGCCTTTTTGTGAATTATGTGATTCGTTCCAGTGAATAATTGAAACTAAAAGAGGAGTGGGAGCCAGCAGCTCAGAAGTAAGGAGGCTGCGGACCCCTGATCTTGAGGCTGGTATTCTAAGGGTATTTAGTGGGAACCCGCAGTCTTTTAGCCAGCAGGTCAGAGGTTGGGAATCTTTCAGACTCCCAAACTTGTGGCTACTGTCTGCCTATTATGCATTCTGAAGGATGGTGTCCTATTGTGAGGTCTGGCCTAGCCCCAGGTGGGTAGTCCGAGCATTTTCCTTGGGCAGCTAGTGTCAGCTGAACAAGGATGGAAATCCACGTGGGAGATTCCTACACAAAGCAGTTGACGTGTGAAGTGGCATTCTTAGTCTTCTTGGCAAAAATAGTAAGTAGTTGAAGCCATTAAGCTCCATCTGACTCTAAACCTGATGTCTCAACTACTGTATTACATGATTGGTGCATTGTTGGTGAAGGTTGGAAGATGGATTGAACCAGACTGATGTCTGTGTACCTGATATCAGTACATAGTAAGTACTACATAATTTTTAATGAATGAATGAATAAGTGTGTGCATTTAGAGGCAGACAGGGACTTTCTCAGTTTCCTGTCTCTCTCCTTACAAAAGTTTTTGCTCCCATACCCATCCATGCCACCATATTCTGCATCTCAGTGAAAAATTCGGCCCACTCCATGAGCTCTGAATCTTCTCCCTTCTTTCCTCATCTGGTCCATCACACCATCAAACAATTACTCTCTCTTCAGCATCTTCAATAGCTCCTGTCTCCTGGCTGCCCTCAGTATCAAATTTCTCCAACCTAATGAACCTCTTGTAGCTATGTTTCAGCTGTTTCCACTATCTTCATGTTTGAGCTTTTTAAAAAAGATGCTACAGCCACCCATGTTATTGGCTTCAACCAACAACTCAATTTACTCTTACATGCCCATATCCAACAGAGTTCTCTTTCCCAAGATTAAGCCCCAAATACCTTATAATCATTATAATAGCCTCCTAAGAGTTTATCTTATCATAATCTCATCCTTTAGCCACTTCTTTACTGCTGTCAGTAGAATGTTGGTTTTAAAAACTCAGCATTTAATTATATCACTTGCCTGCTTACCATCTATATTGCCACCTCACTTGTCTGGAATTCATTTCCCTCTCTTCCTTAATTGTACAAGACTCCTCTGCAAGGCCACCACTCTTAGGAACCTTTCTATCATTACCCTAACTGCCCTATCTGTGTAGTATCCTGGTACCTTTCTTTGGCCCCTAATACAGCATTGGTTTTACTGTCTTACCATAAATAGAGCGTCTTAGGATACAGCTTACGCTTGTTTCTCTCTGTTGATCTTTGTGCCTGTCACACAAAAGGCCCTCAAACAAGCAAAGAATGGATGGGTAAACTAATCACTTATGACACATCAAGTTCATCTTGTATCACTAGCACAAAGAACAGGGCCTGTCACAGAGCAGGCGGGCAGGCATTTTATGAATGCCAGATGGGTTAAGTTAAAAAGATAATGAAGAAATGGAATTTTCAGATGACTGGTAATTGGAATGAAAAGAGAATTCCTGCAAGTAACAGCTAGATATATTTCTCGGGAAAAGAATTTGACCTTTTTTTTTTTTTCTTTTTTCCTTACATATGGAGTCTCATCTGCACCACAATTCCAGAATAGTTTCAGAGACATGGACCACTGGATGAATGTGGATCCAGCCTGGATCAGAATAAAATTAAAAGCTTTCTGGAAAGAGAATCCTAGGAAGACAATGGTGGCATCCTTGGTGCTTATCATGGCTGAATCTTGTCAAATGTCTGCCATTTATTTTCTAAAAGAAAGTAATTCAACATGCTGGAACCTCTTGTTCTTTAAATGGTATACTCTTACAGCAGATTTCCTTATCTAGAAAGCTCTCCCATCAGTCCTACATCTGTCTCCTGGGCAGACAAAAAGTAAATATACTCCCTTTTCCATATGGAACTCTTAAAATAGTCAAATACTGTGACAGGTATTCCCCAGGTCTTATACTTCCTAAGCTAAATATCCTCATTTCTGTACCTGTAAAGGTTTGACCTGATTCCTCACCTTTTGTCTACACATTTTAAGGACAGTGTCCTTGTAGGATTAAAGCCAGTATTCAAGATTAGGATATGCTCATTAAATAATACAGCCAAACTAGTCCTGCTGGTTTTCAGAATGATGTCATTCTGTGAATACAGACCAAGCTTATGTGATTTATAATAATGCTCAGTTCATAACCAAACGAAATGTTAAATGTTCCATTTCCTAACTTTCCACCCTATATACTTCTGCTTTTTTTAATTTAGAAAAAAAATATAAATGTGATTTTAAAAAGTTGAACAGAGATTCAATAAGAAGAAAGCATTGACAGTTAACCTGATTTATCTTTTATATAAAATTCACTGGTAAGTAGCAGGGGGCTTGTCATAGTTTGAATTGTGTCCCCCAAAAATATCTGCCAACCTGGCTGGGTCATGATTCCCAGTATTGTATGATTGTCTACCATTTTATCATCTGATGTGATTTCCCTGTGTGTTGTAAATTCAATCACTATGATGTAATTAAATGGATTAGCAGCAGTTATACTGATGAGGTCTACAAGATTAGTGTCTTAAGCCAATCTCTTTTGAGATATAAAAGAGAGACGTGAGCAGAGGCACATGGGAACTTCACACCACCAAGAAAGCAGTGTCAGGAGCAGACTGTATCCTTTGGACCTGAAGTTCTTGCACTGAGATGCTCCCACACCAAGGGAAGACTGCTGCATCACAA